ATAATGTGATTTGGAGGTTTCCTACAGTGAATGTATATTATTTAAAAAATCTGCATACAGTATGTTTCTAAAAAAATAAAGTGGAACCATCTACTTTTGTCAGTAACAATTTTAAAGGGTTTGATCTTTTACAAAGAGGCAAAACCTATTCTTAGTCCCTTTTGTCATTCTCTGTAGGAAAGTAAAATGGCTCCTGCCTATTTTAGCTCACGCTTGTGACTTGCTGTGTATTTTCTCACCTCAGAAATAATGATATATTGCATATGAGCTAAGTTAGCACATTTGTGGCAGATGACAACTTTTTGGGACAAATCAGGATCAACTAAGTTTAGCTTTGATACTCAAGGGCTGAATCTTTTCATGTTAGGCAGTGTGATAAAATTTCACACAAAACAATCGCAAGATACACACATACAGTGAATATATTAACATGCAAAAATTTGCCAGTGTTATTACTGTTATAATAAAATCTTGTTTAAAATACAAACTGAGTAGATATCCTAAGTTGCTGAGCTTTATTTTTGAAGTTTAACAGTTTTAGGGAAAAAAGGCAAGTTCACTGATTCACTAATTTCACTCTTTTTCCCCTCATTACAATAGTGAAACTATTATGTAAGTTCTAAATGAGCACATTACTAGACTCATCCTTAGATCATATCTGTTCAGTCTAATCTTGTGCGCCTTCCACTTCTACATGTTGTATTCTAAAATAAACATTCCAGAAATGTATTTTGTGAAATAATTGTTTCATGACATGTGTACGAGAAGAGTTTTGTGCTCAAAAAATTTTGCAAACACTATATACTGTAGATCTCCCAACTCTATGCTCAGTGCACTTGCTCACATTATAAGCTCTGAAATGTTTTGTAATAAAGATATACTTTAAGATCAATTCAAGCCAGTATTTTACAACCTTACACAGCCAGGATATTCAGAAGCACCATTTCCAAAGCACTACAATGACTTCTTTTTCTGTGCTTAAAACAAAGCAGAAAAACAGACAAAATAAGCAAGATTTTCTATAAAAATAACTCTGCCTCAAGCGCTTTGACTACTGTTGGCATCCCTCAGATTTTTAAGTGACTGAAACAATCATTGCTTTAATTCATGTCACAAAAGCATTGGAAGGCAGAGTAGCATTTTTCTTGGTCACTTCCTGTCTGATTTATTCCCCAACTTGAGGGTGGCACCTGTGGTGGGGGTAGAGTTGGTGGATTGGGTGGAGAATGTTAGCACTGCTTCCCTACCCCTCACCTCCTGTTCAAGAAACATCTTCCTTCTGGTCCTTCCAGCTTCTTCTCTTTCTCCTTTTGTTTCAGACCCAAAATGTGGTGCCAGAAGCTCTCCTGTTATTCCCTTGGGAATCCTAACATAATCCCTAATGAGGGTAAACCAGTGGCTCCATGCTTGCCCTGTTTAAAGGATGGATCTTAGACTTCGATTTGCAGTAAACCTTTGAGGATGTTGTCTTTGAATATCTGTGAAGACTTTGGGTCCCTTTTGTCTGTGGCATTTATATTTTTTCAGCAATGGTGGCTGTATTTGTGTAATGCCTAATGCATTAGAATTTTCCATTATTATCTCTTCATGCTTTTGAAATCAGTCACTGTACTTATTAAGGTGTGGGCAAATCCATAAACAAAAAGTGGTTGGGATGTCATAGTTGTTTTACAGAAGGTATCTGTGACAAGGCTAATTGATTCAGGGGAGTTTGTTTTCAATAAAGGAACTGAGATTAGTTTACTGTCGATCTTAATTATTCCATCCATCAACCATTTGTTGCCCTGGGCAATTGGCATCATTTTTGCTGCTTGCTAATTTTACTCCTTTTACCTCTTAGGGCTTGTATCTTTAGTTTTATTTTTGTGGATTTGGATTAAAAAAATGACATCTTTCTAAACTGTGCTATGCTGAAGATACTGACAGAAGACACTTGCTCTTCTTGTATTTTAACCACTGATTGAAATTCATAAGCTGTAAATGTTTGTGAATGTAGATGTACAGGTAAGCCAGACAGGAACTTGTAAATGAACACTGTCTTGCCTACAAAATGAGTGAGGGGAAAATATAATTACCATCGGGAGAGGATATTTGGTCACAGTCTCAAAAGAGTACTGAAATTCTGGCTCTTTGGAATTTAAATATGTCTTTTTTTCTACATAATGTTTAAGTTAATTTTGGTTTTGTATTGCTAGCCTCCAAATACCCCTTTGCCTTCCCACACATCTCCCTTTCTCTTTCAAGTGCTTTTATGTGTCTTTGCCTTGTCTGGCTCTGTGTAGCCCTCTCTTCCTGGACCATTTGCATACAAGCAATTCAGACAGGAGGATCTTCCAATTGAAACATAGGTGGTAGGAGGAAAAGCTAAAGGTAGGGATCCACACAGGTGAAATACAACAAAATACTAGAAAAATAACAAGGACTTGACTGAAAACGCTGGGAGCATATTTTGTGATTTGATCAAAGAGTGCAACATAATCTCCCTTGTTTAAATACTGCAGTTAGATGGCTACTTGTCTTGGCCAGTAACTCATTTTCTTTGGAGGTAGCCTTGTTTATGTTGGAGTTCCAACTGCTTGGCACCTGCCTTTCCTTTTAATTGTTTCATGTTGTTGGCATTTGACTGTTGTGTAAATCTGATCGTATATATGTAGAATTTTCTAGTATAGTTGGAGATTCTCAGCAAGTGAATCCAAAACATTTTATTTATATTTCCTCTCTCTCCCCCTCCTCCCATGCTCCCTCCTTCCCTCCCTCTGTTCCTCCTTTCCTCCAGTATGGCAGTTAACATTAAATAGTTCCCAGGTCACACATACATGACTCATATCTTTGTTAGAAATTATATTTTTTTGTAAAGAACACAAATTCACTTTAAGGAAACTCAAGTCACTTCAAAGAAGCTCAAGTCAAAGTAATATAGTTGGAAAGGGAATAGGGTCAATCTCATGGAACTCAGTTATGGGAAATGTAGCTAGGCTTCCTGGAAATCAGAGCAACACCAGCAAGTGACCCTATCTCTCCGTATCTCTGGGCCTGCATATTTTTTCATGTCTGATTTTTCCATATAAATATACTCTATTACTTCAGTGGCAGATCAGCTTTCCTTGTAAGGCTTTTAGTCTTTTTAAAATTTTCATTAAGTTTATTGGTACCTTTTAGGTATAAAATACAGTTACATTCCTCATTGGGATCTTGTACCTTTACATGGTATATCTTAGTTCTTATTTTTTCCCCATTTCCCTGCCCTCCCTTCACCCCTCCACCCCTCCCTATTTACAGAGACTTTGTTTTCATTTTCTCATATTTTTCTTTTCCCTTCTTTCCTTTCCCCTTCCCCTCCCACTTCCCCTACTCCTTTAGACCTTTACTTCCTATTTCACATTATCAATTATACCATTTGAACCTTATTTACACTTTCAGTTTTTCACACCAGAGAAACTATTTGGTATTTACACATGTGTGTCCTATTTATTTCACTTAAGAGTATGGCCTCAATGTGCATCCATTTAGCCATAAATGTCTCTAGCTTCTCATTGTTTATGGCTGAGTACTACTCCATTTTATAGAAAACCCACATCTTCTTTATCCAGTCTCCAGCTGATGGGCATTTGGGCTGTTTCCAAGCTTTAGCTATTACAAACTGTGCTGCTATAAACAGGGGTATGTACATATTGCTGTGGTGTGGTTCTTTTAATTTGTGAGGCTTTTAGTTTTATGTCCACAGGGTCTGACCACCACTGTATGTGACCCATGTAAGGCTCATGCTTATCACCATCTAATGGACTCTCACTGACTCCTTATTTGTCTTAGTTCAAATGAAGGATAATTTTTGTTTGATCTCCCTTACCAAACTGCCTCCATGTAGGCAGGAGCTGTAACTGTTTTACTTATCAGTAGCTCTCATTGCCTAGTCCACAACCTGTGGTAGGTATGCTATAAATTGGGGAGTAAATAGTGCCTCCAGTAACTGGATCTCCTGAGATTGGCTAAAAGCTACAGCTTTTCAGCTTCAGTCCCTACTTAAAATGCCCCAAAGACAAAGGTGTTGTCAAATGTCAGTCCAATCTCTTTATGCTTTCCCTTCCTTCTTGCTAAGATCTTGGCCTTTGACTGTAGTTACCTTGGTAGGTCTCTCTCTCTCTCTCTCTCCCCTTCCCTCCCTCCCCTCCTCTCTCTTTTCTTTCTTTCTTTCTTTCTTTCTTTCTTTCTTTCTTTCTTTCTTTCTTTCTTTCTTTCTTTCTCTCTTCCTCCTTCTCTTCCTCCTCCTCTTCCTCTTTTCCTCCTTCTTCTTCTTCTCCCCCTCTTCCCCCACTACTTGTCTTTGCCAAGAGGGTTGGTTTGGTGCCAGTGTAGTCTACCATAGTCAAAAAATGAACCCAATTGAGCAAATGAAAAACATTCTGGAGGAAGAATGTGATGAGCCTATTTTGAATTAGATGTTTCTGTTCATCTAAGCATCTCTGGCCAGATGGAATGGAATGATGTAGTACTTACCAGAGCTGCTCTGCTGTAAGGTAGGCTGAGCTAAGGAGAGAAGTTGAGTGTGCAGGCATCACTGAAGGGTCTGCTTCCACACTATCATTTTGTTGTCATCATCATCACCTTTATAAAAAGTCTCACCTTCAGAACTTTATGATTTATAAAACTCTGCAATTTGGGTTTTATCATCTGGTTTCAGTGCTCTAGAATCTGTAATCAGTATTCATTTTAACAGTTATTCCAATATCCAGTCTTTATCTATACCTCATTTTTATCATTGCCAACCTTATCAGCCCATACACTTAAAAACAGCTGTCCTAGATCTTATAATGGCCAGATTTCCACTCTTCTCACTATTGCCTCTTTATTCCTGTCCCACCCATCCCCAAGCCTCCCCAAGCCCTAGGTTTGGAATAGCCAGGCTTTAATCATCATATATTTCTCTCAGTAGCCTCTTCAATTCTTCCTAGTCCTCATATGTGGAGTTCCTGAACAGCTAACCCTTGTTCCTGTGCCTCCAGCCAAGTGTGCATGCTGCTGGAGAGTTTGAGAGTGAAGCATGGTGGCTGAACAGCAGGGCGGAATGAAGGACCAGTGACAAGCTGGGACAAGCTGAGTTTCAAAAAGAATTTGGTAAGAGGTGACATGTAATATCTCTTTGCTATAATTCCTTGCTTGGAATTCTTGGAAGAAAAGCTGAAATAAAAATGCCTAGGTAAACTTGTGAGCTGATGAGAGCACATTCTTTCTTGGATGATAGTTTAGAAATTGGATGAGAGGAATTGGAAGGAAAAAGTAATAAGAAGTAACCTGATTTAGATGAGGTTTCTTGTCAGGCGCAATGTCTCCCACCTGTAATCCCAGCACACAGGGAGACTGAGACATGAGGATCAAAAGTTCAAGCCCAACCTGGGAAACTTAGTGAGACCTTGTCTCAAAATAAAACATAAAAAGAGGGCTAGAGATGTAGCATGGTGTGAAGACCCTGGGTTTAATCTCTAGTACTGCAAAAAAAAAAAAAAAAAAGAAAGAAAAAAAAGATTTGTTAATTTCATGTGACTAAATTTTGCTTCAGCTTATCTCTATCAGAGTTTGGCTAAATTGAAGTGATACCCCAAGACACTTAATATTCTGTAGGGCTACCTAAATTTGTCCCTGAAACATAGCAATAATATTATCAGTACTATGACACCTACTGACACCTACCATGAATGTCTGTTTTCAAAATACATCATCATTTCATTTTCATCACAACACTATGAGGTAGGCATTATCATGATCACATTGATAGATGATGAAACTGAAGGGAGTAATTGCCCCAAGATCATATAAAGATCAGTAAGTGGCAGTGCCAGTATTTGAGTTCCAGACACTGATGTCAGAGCCTTATTTTAAAATGATATCTACTAGGCTACCTCCTTATATGGATATAATATATATTAAAATGTTTATTTTTATGACTACATAGTAATAAAAAATACATGGTATTTTTCACATATTTTGCACAATCTTCTGTGGGAAAAGGGATATATAGTATAAATTAAATTAAAAATTATAATTTCTACATTAGGTTATTTACCAAACTGCTATAACAAAATGCAATGGTTCAGTCAAGATAGATGGCGATTTCTCTTTCACATAACCACTTCTAGGAAGGCAGGGTTCAGAGTCAGAGTCATCCAGCAAGTGAGATTCCTTCTTATTGCTCTGCCAGTCTCAAAGGCATTGCCCACATTTCCCTGGCTGAAGCTGCCATTCTAGCCCTAGGAAAGGGGGGAAAGAGAGAGAAGAGTGAAGACTCAGGGTGCTTACAAGTCAAGGGCTGGAATTACATACATCACATCTATTTACACCCTAGTTACAAGGACCTAGTCAGATAGCTACATCTAGCTGCAAGAGAGGCTGGGAGATGACCTGTGGCAGGAATGAGAACATACTGGTGAAGAAAACGCTATGGCTTCTGTCTTCATGAGGATTATGTCTGATGGAGGAGATCAACCAGTAATACTGTATGGTTCCATGCCTTGTTAAATCTTGAGAGGGCATTCTATTTCTAAAAGGGAAAAGAAGCAGTTCAGTGGGGAGAGTAAACGACCTCTGCCCTATTTTCAAAATAGAAGCACAAGCGATAATAATGTATTCGTGGGTTTGGAATTTTTAAAGTTAGTTAGCATTGGGCATAAGTGATTTTTTTCCTTATTTATAATAAAACTATCTTGCCTTGGATGTAATAGGATAATCAGAATAATACTCTATCTCAAAGTAAGTTTATGGTCTAAATTGTTTTAAAACCAGAAGAGATTACAGGGCATTATTTTACCATGAAAGGTATTATAAACACTGTTGAGATAAACTTTGCTAATTAAAGGATATTTATGGGTACACATGGTAGAAGGCATCTGACTAGATATTTGGAAGCAGCTTACAGAGATTCATTGTTAGCCGGCTATACTTTCTGTATTTGATTTCATAAGAGAAGATTGATGGGTGCACACACAGAACAAAAGGGGATTTAATAACAGGGTTCAGCCTCACACCAAGTAGGCTTTCTGATTTAAAACAAACACAGCACATTAGCACAAATGCTCAGAATTCAAAGCCTCTTGGCTTGATTAGCATCCTTGGGCAAATTAAGAAGAATTCTTAAGCCCCCTGTGGGGTCCTATACAGAATGCAGTTATCTGAACAGCTCACAGCCCAGGGAAAATGATGACATTTAGAATTGTAGGTTTTATTTCCAAAAAATATTTCCTCTGGAAATTTCTATGCATGAGTGTTGATGAAAACTCACAATGCACCTTATGGGTGCATCCAGTCTCTGGGTTACTGCCATTTGTCATTATTCTGGGTGGCTTGGCCCCAGAAGTTGGGGTTTGTTTCTTTTGGTAAATGAACATTCTTTTTCTCACACAGTTTTGCAGTCCTGCTTGCCTGAAGCAATCATTAGTTTCAGTTCATGGACCAGGAGGAGCTTCTCTGGGGATGAGTACTCCAAGCAGAGAACATGAAACTGTAAACATCTCACACACTACAGTCCAGCAACCTTGACAGATGAGAGGATTGAGGTTCTGGGGGAGTTGAAGGGCTTCTTCATGTTTCTCAGTTAGTCCAGGGCACTTGAGTCTAAACACGTTTCTGGACTCCCATTCCAGTACTCTTTCTCATTGCCATTAATTATAAATAAATATGAGGCAACTTGAGAATTTACTTGTCTTAGTTACTTTCTTCATCACTGAGACACAATGCCTGACACACCTGCAACTTAATGGAGGAGAGATTTATGTTGGCTCACAGTTTATAAAGGTTTTAGTTCTTAGTGGGCTAGGTCCAAGGCATGAAGGCATGACAGAGGGCATGGTGAAAGAGAGCTGCTCAGGGCATGGAGGACAGCTAGCAGAGAGCATCAAAGCGGATCTTGGAAAGGAGATAAAGTCTTCCAGGCCCCTCGTGTCCCACCTCTTCGGACCAGACTTCACCTCCTAGCGGCAAGTCAGCTGTAAGCTCCCATTATCCAACCCCCCCCCCCCCAAGCCCTACCTATGTTTGCACGAAACTTTGGGGAGACATTTAGATGTAAACTATAACATTACTCAAAGTTGTTTGAATTCTGTCTTTTTGTATATGAATCATTTTAAAGCCTAAAATATTTGGATTACATGGTGAATTACACATTTTCCGGGCACAGGTAAGACCTATCTTAAGGGCCAGAAATATCTCCCCAAGAGCTCTTATTTTTGACACTATATCCACTACATCCAATCACAGTGATTATGTGTATATGTGTTCAGAACATTAATTTGTCAACTATGAATGTTTCAAAAGTCACAGTTTAGAAAAACTGCTTTAGCATAATATATTTTGCTTTGATAAAATAGGAATCTATACAACTGAAAGCGACAAGGGTCCTGTGATCATTGAGAGATATTGGGGGTAACTCCATGAGGAGCTGCAGAATTGAGGCTGAAGAAACATCTGTTGAACTCTGTTTGAGTCCTGATCAGAGAATGAGGGTTCTACCTTATTGTGGTGCTGTTTGTTGGCTTCAGACCTAGTGAAAATCAGTGAAGCACAGCAGAAGGAGACAGGACCTGCTGTGAAGACAAATACTTATCACTAGCTTTGTTTATGACTTGTGTAGCCTTTAGCTAGTCACGTGTGCTTCCAGAGCCTCAGTTTCTCATCAGTGATATAGGGATAAGATCACTTGCTTCAGAGCAGGGTTGTTGGGACAATCAAGTAAGATAATTCTTGTCAAAGTCTTTTAAAATGGGAAGTACCATTCAAATGTGAGGCACACTGGTGTTGGTTACTGTTGTAGTAGTTTATTATATTATTTCACTGAAAGTTGGCTTCTAGTCCAGTGACCAATGTTTAGTAAGTTACATTGTTGTGAGCCAGATGAAAAGAGGCACCAAACTGGTTATGGGTGCCAGGTTCTGAGTGATTGTATACTGCCAAAATTTGCAGGTTCAAATCTCAACCCATAAGGAGGTGGTGTTTAGGGGCTGTTTACATAGATTATGTGGGTGGATCCTTCATGAATGGGGTGAATGCTCATAAATACAGTAGCTGCCTTGCCCTTTTCTCTATGTGGTGACATGAGAAGGTGCCACCAGTGACCCAGAAAGTGTGCTCTCAGGAGACACAAAACCTGCCAGCACTTGATTTTGGAGTTACCAGGTTCTGTTATTTAGAAGTGAGTCAATTTATGGTATTTCGATAAAGAACCTGAATGGACCACAGCAACAGGAGTGCATCTTTGGCCTATACAGACATGCAGTCATCTAAGAACCTGACCTGCGGCAGTGCACAATCCAATCCAGAATATCTTTGTCACCTGGTTGGATATCCCCAATCTGCTGGACAAGGTCATTTCAGCACTTTCAGATCCCTCTGGGAAATAACCAAGAACAAGCCATCGTTTACCACCGTCATGCTCGTATGGTCCGAAGCTCTTTCATCTTCCTAGGTACTCCTGGCCCTAGTGAGGTGGCCAGGAGGGCAAATACAATCCCAAGCAGTCACAGGGACCTCCCTGTCCTCTCAGCACATATGATATTGACAATCTGAAATCCTCATCTGTTTTCATTCTGTCTTCTCTTCTCCTTTTTATCCTCCATCTCTTCATCCTCTTCCTTTTTTGGGTAATGAAATCCCACAAAACACAAAAATCTGGGGTGTTTGTTACAGATTTAAAATGTCTTTTCCCTGTCAACCCACTTCCTTCTCAGACCTTCATCAGCTAGGTCCTTATGGTAATCTTGCTGATGAAGATGGGGAGAAATTATTCACAAAGCCTGATAAGGAAACTGCTCTGGGGAGGGAGAAGAGGGGATGGGAAAGTATAAAGAATCAAGACATGATTTGTGTATGTACTAGTTCTCTACGATGAATGAATGTATGTATTGTGTATCGCAAACACATGCCACTAAAAAGCAGGGGATGGCTCATTCACCATTAAATCCCTGAAAGTCCCATTCTATGAGATGCCAAAGCTGTGGAGGCCAAAGGGGCCAAGTATGCAGACCTTGAAAGCCTAGGAGAGGGGTCTGCAGCTGCTTCTGCTGGGCCCTGGAAGCGCTGTAAGCTGGGGAATGACAAGGCCAGGTTTGCGTTAGGTAACTCAGGTCCTG